ATTAAAGTTTTCCATGGAACTAGAATGCACTGTGAACTTTACATTGTATTACTTAGCTTTTGCTCAAAGTTATTGGTATCAGAGAGACAGCTGCTCACATGCCCCTGGAGTTAAATTAGGCTTTGGGGTGTAGTTCATTATGTAAGTGACTTTGAAAAAGTCTGTGTGTGGGAAGACACCTGACTTTTCATGATACAAACTCGAGGAGCATATTCTGTATACCAATAAACTGTGTTACACTGTAATTTTTACAGGCAGTGGTGGATGCCTGATACTGGAGGTGCTAATATACCAGCTCTCAACGATCTGCTTTCTGTCTGGAACATGGCCTTTAGTGATGGCCTGTATGAAGGTGATTTTACCATGGCAAATCATGAAAGTGAGTACTGGAGTCCATTGCCTATACAGGCTACAGTGTATTGTTTGGAAAATAGTTTTCTGCAAGAATGAGATTGAGTGAGATTAAAGGAAAGCACTCAAATTAACTGAAAAGGGTCTCATAAGCTTAAATGATTGCTTCCTTCATAGGCTGTGTGTGAAAAATTTTCAGACCAGGTAATGAATGTCCTCATTTTAGCCTTACATTCCAGGTCCTGATACTTTGAAGAGTATTGTTCAGGTGTGTCTCTATTTGTCTGGACTATAAATACTAGTTGCTAAGATTAAGCCTTTGGTTTTAATTTTGCAATTATGTGGAAATTTGGAATTTTGGAGGAAGAAAATCGATAGGAACTTTTTCATTGGAATGTGCCAATTTAGACATGCATCACAACATCCCGAGATGTTTTATAAATTCGTGTTCTTGTAATGTTTTCAATTGTTCCCCCTAAAATGAGTATGTTTGATTGAGTTCAAGTTCAGACTTTGTGGATAGGCCACAGGTTTGTGCCCTTACTGTTTTCAGACTTTATAGGTTAGATGGACTTTTTTTTTTTAATCTGACCAAATCACTTGATGTTTTCACACTTTGTTTCCAAATCTCTGTCTTCTGAATGGTTCCTTTAGAAAGTGTCTGTGAAAAGAGAAGGCACTAATGCTGAAGTCCTTCTGTGCTCACCAGCGTTGATTGAAGGAGACAGGTTCTCTGTAGTATAAATAATGACTGTTAGGGTGAAATACTACATTTCTTACAGCATTTGATGGAACTTTTCAGTTTAAAAAAGATAATGTTTGTCTCCTAAATGGAAAGATTTGAAAGAGTATGTAAAGATGAACCCACAAAAGCTGTACTTAGAAATGCCTTCTCTGTTACTGCACATGTTGTCAAAATACACAAATGCAGAACAGTCTTCCTGGGAGTATTTTCTTCTGAGTTTGTTTTAACAACTCACTGAAATATGGTGAGAAGTGATGGAGTGTCATTTTGAATCTTTAAACTGCAATTTTGTGATGTCTTTCAGTGAATTATGCCTCAGGATGCAGTATTGCAAAGTTTCCAGAAGATGGCATTGTCATTGCACAGACTTTTAAGGATCAAGGTAGGCGCTTCCTTGTCTTTTTTCTGTCTTTTAAGTAGAACTTCGGAGTCAGTGCACAAGCAAAGTTACGAAATCCAAAGGTGTAAAAACAATGGAGTGAGAAATGCCTCGACAGAATCACAGAATCACAGGATATTAGGGATTGGAAGGGACCTCAAAAGATCATCTAGTCCAATCCCCCTGCTGGAGCAGGAACCTAAATGAGATCACATAGGAAGGCATAGGACAGGGTAGGTATTTTTTCATTTTGCCTAGAGCATGTAGTTGGATGCCTAACAGGCAGCTGCAATATGACTCTCTGAAATTTTTATATAGCACAGCAATATCAGAGTGTCTGTATACAGTCTTTTATTACATTGCTGTATGTAAACACATCTGCAGGGCAGGGGAGAGAAAAACTGTCAAGTTGACAGGTAGCCTGCTAGACCTGCTTTCTCTGTTGAACCCTTTTCATTGCAATCATGAAGCAAGAGCTCTGTGTTTTGCTTCTACTATCTCTGAGGCAGTGTCTAAAGTACAGGAGACTAAATACTGAATTTGAGTTCTTTTTATTTTGGTTTTTGAAACGAGTGTTAGGGATGGGAAAGCTTTAATCTAAAACCAGCTTTCTACGCATTTTAGTTCCTTCATGAATTGGGGTGTTTCCACTCCTGCTGTTTATTAGAGCTTTTAGTTCACAGGAGATCAAATGATGGGATGGATTTATGAGATACAAATGGCAGGTTTATAGCCAGCTGTCCTCTGGGTTTTGCTGCACATACTCATTCTTACTGGGAAGGTTCCTGTGCTTTTTTCATCCTTTCTGTTCATCAGTTATCTCAGTTATAATTGTAAATATCTGGTAAGCATATCTTCTAGACTGCTGGTTTATTACTCAGATACTTGCAGTGCTTTTGAAGGTGGGCTTTTAAATGATACTCCTTCAAAAACTGCTACTTACAATATTGGTAAAAGTGTTTCAGAAAAGGCTGAGAAGCAGATGGCAGGGCTGGATGTAATGAAAATGGGCTCTCCCTGCCAGTTCAAAGAGTGGCCAGGGTGAGGAGGGAGTGAAATTTGCCCAAGGTTAAAGTGGAGGAGGAAGGTGGGAAAACTCATGTGAGTTTGAGGTTTTTTTGTTGTTTTTCATTTTTTGGCTTAGGTATTCTTACTAAACAATACTTTTCTTTGTTCCTGAATTGAAAGCTGAACAGACAAAGCACAAGGGTAACCAGTGACTGCAGAGTTGCAGAGAGATGCAAAATGAGCTTCCCCTGAACGGCTGCTTTAAACAAGCTCAATCAAAACCTTTGTCTTGCAGCTGCTGCTTACAGAGAGACAGATGATGTGTTTCATGGAATGTCTCTCTTCTCTTTTGTTAGTTCCATACTCAATTTTCCTGTAGGAACAGGTAGGCATGGCAGCAAAGTAAGTTGGCAAAGAGCAGTGTGCATTGTGATGGCTGGTTTTTAAGTTACTGTGTAGAATTCTGCAGGAGGACTAACACAACATAAAGTGATTTGTAAGGCACATAGTTTTGATTTTAAACCTGTTCCTGAAAATATTAAGATTTTTCATTCCGACAGTGTGGAAGATAATCCAGGTTGTCAGATCTTTTTCTGCTTCTCCACCAAAGAAAGAAAAAAACTAGTATCAGTAGGAAACTTCACAATCATGGTCTTGGAGCAGTTTCATTTTTCTTATAACATCGTGGGGGTTTTGAAAACATTTTGCATAAATGTGTCCCATGAAGAGTAGCGTTAACTGTATTTGTAAGTTTGCAGTTTGGGCATGTTGACTTACAGGTACATTGGTGTTGATGCTTTGCAGGCTATGAAATTCATTTGTGCTTTGCTTTAGGTCTTGAAGTTTTAAAACAGGAGACTGCTGTCATTGAAAATGTCCCTATTTTGGGACTTTACCAAGTTCCTTCCGAAGGCGGTGGCAGAATCGTTTTGTACGGTGACTCTAATTGCTTGGATGACAGCCATCGACAGAAAGGTGGGTGAGCTTTGACATGCAGGAAAAGTTATTGTCTTAAGCTGACAACTGTCCAATGAGGGTTTTGCAGCTCCCATCAGAAGTAGCTGTTTTCTAGGGAATCTCTAAATATTCCTGACTGAGGCTTAATCTCTCACCCCACATTAAATAGCCCTCTGGTAGATGGGAGTATTTCCCGTGCCCAAAAGCCCCTTGCCTGTTTTTTCCATTCCATAAGCTTTGGGGGCCAGTTTTGGGGTGTTTTTTTGCGTGGGGTTTGGTTGGTTGGTGGGGTTTTTTCTTCTTTGGGGTGTTTTTATTTCATAGAATCATAGAATCATAGAATGGTTTGGGTTGGAAGGGACCTTAAAGATCATCTAGTGGGAGGAAAGCACTAACAGTTACACGTGTTTGATTTGAGGTCGTGAAGAGGCCATTAGGGTGTCCCTTCATTTTTTCCCCAGTTGCATTTTCAGAATGTTTTATGTTTTACAATGGATTTTATCTTTTGACCTGGCTCATCAGCCTGCTTTGTCTCTTAGCAATGTTTCCTGTGAGGGTATATGGTAATGTTCAACGTTTCGTTTATGCATTACTGTTTTCAGGTTATTCTACTTCAACACAAACCAGCTGGTGTAAATATGTCAGAAAGTAGGAACTTCTGTTTGGGTTTTCAGAGTGTTTGCAGCTCGAGGAAGCAAGTGTGTGAGTTGTGTGTGTGTGTGCAGTGTCTGTGACTCCCAAAGAAGCCATTCTGTCTGTGTGCTTGGTCCTTATAAAACCTTTTTCCAGCACTTTATCTGATCTGACTTTTAAAATTTTTAAGAGATTGATTGGGTTTGTCATGACATGTAAAGCACAAGCTGGTAGATCTGTGGCTCAAGAGACCAAAGATAATCCAATATGTGAAGTCTTTTTCTGCATTTCCACTGAATGTGATGTTCAACCTGAATTTTCCTTTTGTGGTGAAAAGTACATGTTTTAATGCTTTAAAGTTAATGTTTTAAGCTTTTGTCACTGGCATTTTAAAATATTGGGTTATGTAATTCATCCCTTGCCTAATATATTTACATTTAAAGGAACTTAGTGCCTAAGGGAGCTCTCTGTCTGTAGCTCATTTCTTTCTCTCCCAAACATTTTCTTTTTCTTTGAAAGTTCTCTGGTTTGTGCTTCTCTGTCTTTGGGTGGCTTCCAGCGAGTTTCTGTGACACCAACATATCGATGCCTCCCGTGCTTACTCTAGGTTATTGAAAGCACACAGTGTAAGAGAAGATCCGTGGCTTTAAATTAAATAATAGACACCAATGCTTTGTGACCTCCCTAATGCTGTTAAATTCAGTCTGACCTGTGAAGCAAGAAAAAGTGAACAATTCTAAAGAAATCCTTTAAAATTAGCTTTTAAGTTGTGAACCAGGAGCTGTGTCTCCTACAGAGACATCGGTGGCTTTAACTGAGGTAAATTCCTAACATTTGTGAATATAAATCCTTAAAATCTGATTGACCTCTTTAAAAATCAAAGGTGAGGGTTTAAGGGACACCAGGATTATGAAGATTAATTCCCATTCCCAGACAGCTGTTCCTGGGGGGAGAAATTCTGAGAAAAATAGTTTGCTGTGTGGTGGAAATAGCTGATAAGGCATTGTCCTACTCCTGCAAATGGACGTTTCAGAGAATTGCGATGGTAACTAGCTGGACTGCTTGGATTAAGGTAGGAGTAATTAAGGAGAGAATCAATATGAGGGTTCATGTGCTGTTGAAGTGCAAAGGAAAACCACAATCAGGTTTATTGTGGTGTTGATTCCCAGCCTGGTCTGTAGCACAGCTGCTGTAGGTACTGCTTTTGCTTTAGCTGGGATGTAGCCAGAACCTTTCCCCTTTATTTTTATTTGTTAAGCTTGGGAAAGCAACTGAGTCATAACTTTCCACTGAAAACCTACCTGTTCTTAGTTTTCTTCAGAAGCTATTTATTTTGTCCTTTCAAAAAAATAGTTGGTTCTCCATTTCCCTCTTTAAAATGATGTCAGAAGCTCTCTGAGCTACCTGCGTTTCCACGCTGAAAAACCTCGTGTAATTTTTGCAGGGACTTGGATGCTCTTGCACAACCTTGAATTCCTGAAGTTGAGACCTGTTGTTTTTATGTCCTGCTCCCCAAAAGAGCCTGGTTGGGTACACAAGAGAAGATATTTTAAAAATGAACAGATTATTTTTGTGTTTATGTATTGGAGAGGGAGATGTGGGGTGTGTTGAAAGTTGCATCTTTCTGAAATTGAGCCTAAGAACTTCAGAAGGAGAAAAACAAAAGTCAGAAAAACTGGTGGTACTTCTAAATGTCATTACAGCCTTCTTAACAGAAAGGTAAGACATTTTAAATGGGGTGTAATGCATATCTTGTTTTGGGATTGTGAAATCCACAGATTGCTTTTGGCTCCTGGATTCCCTCCTGCAGTACACTTCTTACGGGGTGACGCCACCAAGTCTCAGCCATTCCGAAAACAGACAGCGACCGCCGTCAGGAGCAGGCTATTCTCTCCCCGAGCGGATGGAAGGTGAGAGCCCACAGCTAAGGCAGTGTCAGGGTAGAATTTAGGAAGACCCATGCAGATCCCTTGAGTTATATGCTAGTGAGGTTAGTTTGGTGTGAGCTCTACAGTATTCTCTTTTACTGGAAGAGAGCACTTACCGTAGGGATTTGTTGTGATAGAGCTGTGATTCGACCGAAGGAAATGTTCTGTTCGTAGAGTAGGAGCTTTCAGCTGCCCAGTTCTGCTAGGGAGCGTTCTGGTTACTAGCAGCAGAGTGGGGATGAAGCATTCAGTCTTGTCTCACGTGCTGCCAAACTTGGGTTGTGCAGTCTTGTTGTTTTGTAAGGTACCCTCTGGTTAATTCTCACTGAATTTTAGTTACTGGTCATCATTCCTGTAAAGAGCTCCTGGTTTTACAGCAGCTCTGTTCAGCCAGAGGTGAATGTTGATAACTCTTATCCTACCAGTCTTTTGGTAACCCAGTCTGTCTCTGCTGTGAGTTGCAGGTAACCATTTGCATCGATACTCAAAGGTGCTCGAGGCTCACTTGGGAGACCCTAAACCCCGGTCTCTTCCTGCTTGTCCTCACCTGTCCTGGGCCAAACCACAGCCTTTGAATGAAACTGCCCCCAGGTTCGTATATGGCTTTCTTACACAAGAAATCTCACTTTTGAGTTCAGCTGAGAAATTATTTGTGCCATCTGCTTTGGAAAGGGACAACTGGAATGCCTTTCCTAGAGAAATACCGGATTGCAAAGAGGAAATAATGATTAATGTTTCATTGATTGATAACTCTGACTCGCTTTATAGCTGCACTGTGAAACTGGGGGATTTTAAAAATAGCTTCACAAGTCGACTCACTGCTGTGATTGAGTGATCCCGACTCAGAGTGAACAGTCCTGCTTAAATCCATCGTCACTGTGTGCCTTTGAAATAGTTTTCAGAAGCAGCTTCTCGGACAGCTCACCTGACTCTGCCTTCTCTTGTATCCTTGGTCAGTCACGTGAAGGAGGATGTGTCAGCACATAGCCCATACTTGTCTGCTGAGCTGCCCATGCTAACTTCTGGTAGTCTGTGTGCAAGAGAGAGAGTTGTTAGTAAATAGTTGCCAATCTAAGTGTGTCCCCGTGGCATCTGAATTGAACTTTGGAGGCCTGCACACTGCAGAACATAAAGAATGGATCAGGTTATCATTTGGCTCCAAACTAGCGAGTTCTTTGTAGGTTCCAGCTGTCACTTTCTCTATATGTTTCTACAAAATTCCTTGCATTGCTGAAGTAAGTGGACAGACACCTCTGTCTTTGCATTTCTTCTAGCAACCTTTGGAAACATCAAAAGTTACTGTCAATTGACCTTGATAAAGTGGCTCTGCCCAGTTTTCGACAGAACCGACCCCAGGTGAGACCCTTGTCCCCTGGAGAAAGTGGAGCATGGGACATTCCTGGAGGTAAATATTGAAGAGTTCACAAGTTGCTGTTCTGCTTTCCTTTTTGTATAAGCTTTGGAAAAAAAAAACCCAAACACTGAGCAGCCAGAAGAGAGACCACATGTTTCTTTTCAGCTGTGAAAAACATGCAGATAATAGTATGGCTGTATTGTAAAAGGCTGACTGAGGAAGCTCAAGAGAAATATTTTTGCATATTAATAGTTTATTGAGAAGAAAGCATGCATGACATACTGGGAGGAAGATTTTGGGGGGTGCTTTTTGGGTAGTCGAGGTTTGTTTTGGTGCTGTTCAGACTGATGGGTGTCAGCAGCAGTCCCTGTCCTTCAGCTGTAGCTAGATACCTCCTGCTAATTAAAATTCCTTGTCTGAATGCATAAAAGCAGAGTCCAGAAGAGTTTGAATAGTGCTTAGAGGAAGGTGCTACACTAACAAATGATTGAAACAGCTTTCAGTCTAATGGTGGGGTGCTCTCCTGTACCAGCTTGGCCCAGCTGGAACTAATTTGAAAGCCTCACACATCCTCTTTTCCCAAACTGAGCTGATAGACCAAAAGATAGAAGTAAAAAGGAAAGGGTTGGTTCTACAGCTCGTCCTCATCGTGTGCGTGCATGGTCTCTGGAACAAGCCCAAAATCACTTTCCTTGTGGCTGATATCAAGCTTTGGTGTGATTTATAGAAATTACTTAGTGGTAAAATTATGGTCCATGGTGCCATGGTGGTTCTGGCGTTCTTTGTGGTGCAGATCAACAAAGCATAAGTATTTGCATCACTGTTCTACTGCAGAACAGAAGATTGTTGTGGCAGGGGAAATCTGGGTTATACTTTCACGTGCCCAAATAAGTCAAGGTGGAAATGCTGGTGCTTTTCTGTAACAAGAGCATCCTGTCTGATTTTCACTAATTGGTCTGCAGTCGTTAATCTTCCTGTCTGAAATGTAATCTGCTTAACAACTGTTTCATCTTTGAACAAGAGTTGCCATCAGATTGTTTTGGTAAATAGCGTTAACACTGCAAAGACGTCGGAACTCACCGAGTCATTAATCACTTCCAAACCTCTTTGCCTTTCCAGGTATAATGCCTGGCCGGTACAACCAGGACGTAGGACAGACTATTCCAGTCTTTGCTTTTCTTGGTGCCATGGTGGTTCTGGCATTCTTTGTGGTGCAGATCAACAAAGCGAAGAGCAGGCCAAAGAGACGGAAACCACGAGTGAAACGACCGCAGCTTATGCAACAGGTTCATCCACCAAAGACGCCTTCTGTTTGAAAGCTCTCGCTTGCCAAAGATGACCTCCAGGCTTTCCTGGGCAATCGATTGCTCCCAGGGAACGTTCAGCACATGTGGCACTGATCGTACTGGTGATTTGTACCTGACATCATCTCATAGTCTTTGGTTTCTGGAGGGGGGGGGGGGGGAAACCATAAAGAA